CTCAGAGCGAGAGGCCTCCCTGCGGCGTCGCTGAGGGAGCTCTGAAGCAACCTTAGCACTCTCAGGGATAGGTAAATAGAATTGTATGTTAAAGAAAATGCAAGATGTTCTTCATTAAAATAATTTCTTACATCTTTTAGTTAATTCTAAAAGACGAGCTATTAAAAAAAAGAATATTTTTTTTAAATGGAGTGATGGCGTGTAACTGTATTTTGGCTTTATACACCCCATTAGGGGTGTGTGGACCCCTTTGTAGCCCCTTACGGTTAAAATACATACTTGTGTGTAAACACACCTTATATTATCTGGTTTCATGTCCTTGCCATATGTTTGATTTCCCTGTGCAGCAAATGACCCGTATGGGGTTTGGGTGTTTCTGTGCCTGCCGCACCAAGCTGTGCTCATGGTAAGAAGGTGTGAAGGTGTGAATGTGTGCCCAGGTGGAGCAGGAAAGAAGCTGAGACTTGCTGCTTCGAAAGGTGTTGCAGCTGAAAGAGGAGGTGTATCCTGTGATTCTGCTGCGTGGCACTACCTCACAGAGATTGTGTCCTGTTGACTGCGGGGAGCTGGACCAAATTGGGTTTGAGTGATATATCTGTGTATCTGTTGACTTTTTTAATGACAAGCAAACTACTTGTGAGCAAAGTCCCTTTGCCTTTGGTTTCATCTTTGTTTTGTATTATATTCAGTTAATTATATAGATTACATTAAAGTTCATTTTGTAATCTAATACTCTGTTATTTGAAATTTATCTTTTAATTAGTGTCTATTTTGGATAATAAATTTTGTTGGTCGGCATCATTTTTTGCGACATTTAGGAGATACTAATCTGACTGATCTGATCTACCATTAGCAGCAAAGTTGTTAGTTGAGGGATTTTTCTTTGCTTTCGTTTGCTTTTCTCTTTTGTTTCTTTGTTGTTGTTTTTTTTTTTAAAAAAAAGTTCAGTTTGGCAGCACAAGTCCATGTTCGTTGTCTGTCACTGATGGAAAGCATTCAGCTTAAGTAGCCTCATGGAATCCTGCTTTTTCCAGTTCCTTCCTCCCTGCCTCATATATATGTGCGTGGATGGATGCAGACATACAAAACCAGGTGTGCACACCTATTCCCATTTATTGAAATCTGTCTGCTGGTTTGGATCTGTGTTCCTAGCCCCTAAGAAGAACCGACAAAAATCTCAGGACTATTCACATTGGACTGGAACAAAATTAACTGCAACTGAGAGGATTTTCCAGGGAAGTTTTGGGGGAAGTGCAAAAAAAAAAAAAAATGAGGCACATTATGTTTTGCAGTGAATATTTGCACAGTTCCAGGAGAAATTAATGATAAATTGGCACACTTACCAAAGCTATCACAATCCAGAGACTCAGGATCTGTATAAGAAATAGCAAGTAGCTCAGAACTCTTGCATTTTTGTTAAAGGACTGATTGACAAACCTGTTTCCCAAGCAGGATGAACTTCTGCAATGTATGATCTGTGATGGAGAATTTGGCTTCACAGGCTTTATGAGTGCCCACACTGGAGGTGAATTAAGTGAAGGCAGTGCTGAAGAGCTGAATGCTTGAGGACACCATTCATCCAGAGGTATGAAATGAATCAAAGATGGAAAGGAGAAGACCCATTATATGGAGGGTGTTCTGCAAGTTGAAGATTAGGGGTTGGTGGAGCAGGCTAGGCTTGCAGGCCCAGCTATGAAGAAGGCCTTGAGGGTAATCTGCGTAGGGCCAGTCATCCACACAGAGAGTTGTTACACTTCTGCAAAATACAAATTTTTTAAGGACTTTTTCAGCCAAAAGGCAAAAACTGTCTGTTGGACTGCCAGCCTGCTTCTATTGTAGGAAGCTGTTTTGTAGAGAAGGTAAAGTCATGAACCTTTTCCCACTTTTTTTGAGGGAAGTAGACACCCCAGAAGATATTGGTAAGTAGACCTCACTTTCTGATCTCTACTGTGGCTGGTCATAGAGAAGAATCTCTAATCTGGCCCTCAACTTTAATCTCCCTTTTAATTTTGAAAAATGCAGGAGGCCTATTTGTATTCAAGAAGGAATAAAGAACTATTTGGAGGCTAGTCCCTGCTGTTAAGTGCATATAGTGTTAACTGTGGTGCAGATGTGCTAGCCCTCACATTCTGCAATGTTTAAATGTTCACAAAATTCTGCAAGGATGAACCACTGTGATTTTTTTTTTCTTTTTTTGTTGTTACTTTCTAGTTATTTGTAATCTATAATCCTGGAGGGTTTTGATTTGTTTGTTTGTTGGTTTGGTTTGTTGTTTGTTTTGCTTTGTTTTGTTTTGTTTCCAAGAATGTTAAGTGTTTACAGCCGTGGAACCTCTTAAGCCCTTCACTGTTTTCTCTGCGGGTAGGATTAACAGGTTTCACTATGACTAGGCCTTTTGTTGTTGTTCACAGATGGTGTTGGGTCATTTTCAGATCATCTGTTCTCAGGATCAGGTAAGGGTTAGGTGTATTACACTAAGGGACTGTATTTACACTGTGTTGCAGGTACAGCCCTGAAAGTGCTTAACGCAGTACACGTTCAAAAGGGAATTTAGCTACACTCCCTACCCAGAGTGGCCTCAGCAGGGACCTTTGTACCATTCTCTTCCGCATAAAACCAGAAAACAATCTAGAGTCCAAACAGAAGTGAAAAATGGCTCCTCAAAGCCAGATTTCTTTGCTTTGTACCTTGCTTTGTAGTATAGCATTCATCACTTGCGGAGTAGAAGGTGAGATGCAAAATCTGTTGTTACTGCTGTTGGGGAAGCAACTGCACTAACATGTTGCAGTGTAGTGATTTTCAATGCATCTCTTATACTTTTGTTAGCAATTTATGAAAGTATCCTAGTAAACCTGATGCAAAAATTACTGGTTTTGTGAGGTGAAACCACTTCTGAGACAATTTTATGAAAATAAAGCTTTCTTTTTTAGAAGGTAGAAAGCAGAAACATTGCCAAATTATCTAAACGAAATATTTTTAAGATCTTGTTGGATGATAAATTCAGAAAATGTTAATGATTTTGAAAGTTGCTGTTTGCTCTGAAATTTGTTTTTAAGCCTTATGCTCTTGCACAGTGACTAAACTGTGTCTTGCCTAGCTCCAGCTGTCACTGGCGGTCAGCTATAGGAGTGTTTGGCAGGAGGTGTCTGTCATTGGACTAATACAAAAGGAAAACTGAACAAAATTGAAAGGAATATGATTAAATCTTCTAAGTTAAACCTTCCATAAAAATGCTTCATTGAAAAGTCTGCCTGATAACAATGAAGTGCAATTTTATTATCTTTTTTGTTACCTTATGTGCTGCTTAGGACAGAATGGTGCTGAACCAGAAGTGACTCTCGAATTTGGACGGCTCAAAGGGAGACAAACAAACGTGAAGGGGACAGACAGACTTGTAAATGTTTTCCTTGGGATTCCTTTTGCAAAAGCCCCTGTTGGATCCTTGAGGTTTTCCCCACCTGAACCGCCTGAACCCTGGAATGATCTGAGAGATGCAACTTCTTACCCACCACTGTGAGAGCCATTCAGTTCATTTGTATACAGGACCTGCTCATGTTTGTCAGTGTTTTTGTGTTTGTTAGGGTACAGAGCTCTGATTTTTGGTAACGAGCTTGTATTGACTGGTCATGAATACGCTGCCAGTACTTAAATGTTTTATAAGAACTGCGGGACTAGGAGCCTTTATGGCTGGGAAATTCCTGTCTTTGGAAATCAGGTTTTCTCATTATACTCTACTGAAATAATTTAACTTTTTGAGTGCAAGTATAGAGCTATGCTTTTACAGGTTGCACCTCTAACTGTGTATAAGTAACACGAAGTTCAAGCTCCCTGTGGGAATTGAGTCTGTGGCACAAAATAAAGTTTTTTCTTTATTGTTGTTACGTTGTTGGTACTTGAGCTTTAGTACTAATAGTCATGCTTCCTTTCTTTTGTGAAGATGTCCTCAAGATCTGTCCATGTTGAAAATAGCTGAAAAAAACTTTAAAGAAAAACACCTTCCATTCCAAACTTCAGAGGACTGTTTGTATCTAAATGTCTACAGCCCTGCGGGTTCAAACAAGAAGGACAAGTTACCTGTATGTAAACCCACTGTACAAACTTGTGTTCTACAAAGTTTGCACCTCATGATAGCTCCTCGGTCACTAAATTGCTGTTGAAAATGTGATGTTGCCTTAGTAAAAATAATATTATGACGTAAAATTCAAAGTCCATCAACTTAAAATTCAGCTCCCATTGACCTTCAGTGATCTGGAGTTCCTAATTCTCTTATGTTGTCTTTTTTTTTCAAATGAAATCTACCAAGCAATGTATAAAAGTGTTTCACTCTTTTTTCTCTCAGGTAATGGTGTGGATCCATGGAGGCAATTTTATATTTGGTGGTGCTTCTAGGTATGATGGTTCTGCACTAGCAGCCTACGAGAATATTGTGGTAGTAATAATTCAGTACAGACTTGGACTCCTTGGATTCTTCAAGTAAGATGACCCATTTCACTTTTTACAAAATACTTCCTATCATGTTTAAAGAATAGGTAGTTCTGTTTTCTAAATCACTGAACTTCTGTACCAGCTTCCCACTGTTACAGTGGTTTAAATGTGTGTAGTTCACTGGCATTGGGACTTAAGAATGTTAAGAAACACCCGTAAATTCTGTTTGCATTGTTATTTGATTATAGCCTGCTGTCAAATCATAGTTGGGCTTGTTTGGTTCTGGATAGGATGTTTGTCTTGCTTTTGCTTCCCATCCATTGGTGTGTAAAGCAAAAAATCATACAGTGTAAAAGCCAGGGATCCATCTGTGTAGGGGTGAAGAGACAGCAGAGGCAAGTACATCAGTGGGGCTTAGATCTGGCTATGAAGAGCTTCATCTCAGTAGGCCATACAGATCTTTCCTTGGACAAATAATATACTTAGCACAAAATGTAAGTTGGTAAGATTTATTTTGTTCTGGTATTATAAGAACTGTTACTTTTCCTGAGAAGTTGGCTTATAATGCTTTTCTTCCAGTACTGGTGATGAACATGCTCGTGGGAACTGGGGATTTTTGGATCAAGTAGCAGCCCTTCGGTGGATCCAAGGAAATATTGAACACTTTGGTGGAGATCCAGGATCTGTCACCCTCTTTGGTGTATCTGCAGGATCTTGCTCTGTTTTTGCACATGTAGGCATGCAGTAGATACATTATTTTTAACAGTATAATCTTTAAAAAAAATTTTCAAAAACTCAACATTTCATGCTTAATCTGATTTTTGAAAGTAAGATTAATGGCACATCGTGCTAAATCTGAACAATCCCCCTGTAAGCACATAAAACTCTGTAATTCCTCACTGAATCCATGGGATAAAGACCTTAATGTAGAATAAATAATTTCTGTTCTTCCTTTCTTGGCAGGTTTTATCTTCATTGTCCAAGGGTCTCTTTCATAAAGCAATATCAGAGAGTGGAATTCTAATCCCCACTGATAAAGTTTTACTTCCTTCAACAAATCTTAAGGTAGGCTCTTTTTTTTTTTTCATTTTAAAGCTTTTATAACCTAAAGTAGGCTATTTCTTATATCTCATAATATGGTTAAAAGAGAAAAGGTGAAAGTCTGATTGCATTTTATGCAATGAAGTTGATGCGGTTTATTCTTACAGTTTACCTATAAATATAGAAATTAGCACTCAGTAAATTTTAATTCAGATAGATTCTGTATGTTTGATCTCATTTGGTGTTGGAAATAGATTGTACAGTTACGTGTGCAGTTATCTGTGGGTTGGCTTAGGTATTTTCAGTTATGCAGATGCCAAGCTAGGCATATGTCCATTTTCATGCACACTGTAACTTATACAGTAACAATGAAATTTATTATGGAAAGTTTCATTAGAATCCAGAAGAGGCATTCAGTTTTTATTAATATATGCTCTTTTATGAAGTAAATAAGCAAAAAAAAAAAAAAACAAAACCAAACAAACCCCAAAATTAAACATTAAATTCCATCAGCATCAATTCTATAAGTATCTTTTCATATCTCCTCCTGAAATGGCAGGTAGTAATAATGTAAATCTCCCATAAGCTGATTTTCTGAATGTTCTTTGCTTATTTGATTTATGTTACAACTTTGTGTTATCCCTATAGTAAGGTTTGTTGTAGAGCAGTGAATGGAAATACAGCAAGAAAGAGAAGTATACCAAATGATTTCACAAACCATAGTGTTTCTAGTAAAATAAATTACTCGAAGACCTACCAAACTCACCTAAATCTCCCCTTAAATAAAACTATTAACAGTACTGTGTATAATAATTTTCTGTTTATAAATTCCTTAAAAGACCACCTCACAGCTAACAGTTCCTGTTTTCATGAATAATTTTCAGAAAATTGCAAGTCTATTTAAGTGTGAGTCGAGCAGTTCACTCTCACTACTGAACTGCCTGAGGAGCCAGGAAGCGAAGGACATCGTCTTTAACACTACGGTAGGTGAAAGTTTACTTGGCAACAGAGTTTTTTAATGGCATGCCAGCAAAACTTTAGCTCAGCCTCTGACCAGAGTTCATCATTGGCCTGTTCCAAAGTTGATTTTTCTTAACTTTGGTCAAAATATGTGAAATTATTTAAATATTTAAGGGGTAATTTCTCTTGAGGATTTTCAGTGAAGCGTCACAGCACCTGTAAAGCTCTGAGCAAGACTCGAGCGTATGTTTTAATGCCAGTGAGAAGCAGCACAGGACCAGGAAGCCATTTGGTTACCCCATACAAGGCCCACCCAGGCTTGCATTTTGTACTTTTGTGCCAAACTGTAAAATTGTGTTAGAGTGGCTGTAGATACTCAGATTCCTTAAAGCCATTTTTTATACACTTAATATTAAATGTGGATATTTTATTATATTATTCGAAGGAAAAATGGAGAATACTATTAACAAGTAATTTGATCTTCTTTTCTACTCCTTCAGGATATCCCGTTTCTACCCTTAGTTTTGGATGGAGTATTTCTTCATAAGTCACCTGAAGAGATATTGGCTGGAAAAGAATTTAATGCAGTCCCACTTATGATAGGAGTCACCAACAATGAATTTGGCTGGAATATTAGATCTGTAATTTAATGGCTGTTCTTAATTTTTGTTTAATGTTTGTGTTAACTGGCGCAGGCAGCTCTGAGAAGGTATTTGCTGGCAGGACACCTTTTAAGTATGGCCAAAATGCTTTGTGTTGTTGGAAATAGATACAAGGTAAACTTTTTTTGCATTATGATTCTGTGGTGTCCCAGAACCAGTTGGTCACAAAACAGTGAGACAGGCTTCATCCTATGAGTTAAATTACATGGACATCCTTGGAACATCTATTTTATAAAAAATTTTCTTATCCTAAAATTTTAATCTCTTATGCAGGCAGAGAGAGGAACAAGAATGCAATAGTCAAAGGCTTATTACTGACAGAAAGGTAAAATCAGTCCTTCCCCCACAACACACAGTATTCAGGATTGATGCATAGAATGTTTAAAAATGTGATGTTGATCACTTTAACCAGCTTACCTGTCATTATGAACTCTGCTGGTTATATCATTGCCCCTGTGTTCCTGGTTACCATGCAGAAAGAGTTATTATTTGAAAATCTCATGTGGGGACAGAATATGAGGATAATGCAAGTGTCCAACCCCTTCTCAGTGTGTAATTTCTTTCTCATAGGAACTCCATGGGTGACTGCAAAAAATGAGCAGTTGCACAAAACTGCAGGAGATGGCTTTGTGTCCTCTCTGTTCCTTGTCCTCTTTTATTCATTTCCTAAATATTCATGTTCATCGTGTAGTATGAAGCATTTGTTCTGAATCTATGTAGTAACTGTGTGTCTCTGGGAGTGTGCTGGTACCAAGTCCAAGAAGAAAAGTATAAAGTGAAGTCTGTTCTAATTCATTCTGCAGACAGAAGAGTCATTTCATCTAACACTCTAGAAGAGGAGGAGTGTTGCCTTGTCTTTACTTCAGCTGGTTCAAACAATTGGACTAGAAACAGAAAGGCTGCCAATTATTTTAAGATCTCCCTTACTACAGGGAAAAGAAGCCTTTAAGACAGAAGTTTTTTTGCTTCAATTCTGCTCTAATGCTTTCTAGTCTTGCAGGTTTCTTAATAGTATGTATTGATTTAAGGATAAACTGTGTAGTATGAGTGGTTTATGTAGAAACCTTCACCAAGGAAACATTTACTGCAGTAAATACAAGCTTTTCAGGACAACTGCTGCCGCATGCTGCATTTTTACATAGTTCAATAATAAACACCAGTAGTAAGACTAGAATGGAATAATGTAGTTCCAGTGTTAAAAATCTTGGAGAAGTTGAATGGTGCTAGTAACATCCATTTTTTTTTTTCTGTGCAGACATCAAAAATACCAGGTTTGAAGGAAATTGGAGATAAAAAATTAATCATTTCAACCTTAGAGCTTTTACGACCAATCATTGTAAGTACTGTTGCAATAATCTAATTTGAAAAGTGAAATTTCTTTTTAATTCATGTAACAGATTTGTGAAGTTTGGTGTTCTCTGATTTCCTGCTTGAGTGATAGTATTACTAAGGCTTGAGGTCATGCTATATTTTGGAGAGAGTCCCAGCAAAGCTGACAGGACTATGGTATATGGAGTTATACAGAAACAGGATCGAGTCAGGCCTGGGATTTGGGGAAGTGTCTTTTTCCTTCTAGGCCTCTGAACCAACGTTTTTATTTCCACATTTGTATGTAGGATTACTGTAATAGTGTCCCTAATCTTATGGTACCTGATGGCTGATCTCCTGGTTGATGGGTCACTGGGTTTCAAGGCAGGATTTTTCAATATGTTTACATTAAATTGAATGTAACTTTTAAAATAGATAACTTTGCACTCCTATTTTTGAAATATACATTTCAAGCAGCAAATTCTAGCACTGAAAACATGAGCTGTGTTTGGAGATCCCATTGGTCTTGCCCTGTAGTCTAATAGTCCGTAAATCTTTCAAGGACTTGGAGAATTTACTTTTGTTATTCTTGTCTCTTTTCTCTTGAAGAAAACAGAAGCCAAAGGTATTGTCAGGAGAAGCTGCTGGGTGCTGTGGATTCCTGTAGAGTTTTAACACGCATAAATCTGTTGCAAATTTGACGTGGGATGGTTTGTTTGGGGTTGTGGGGTTCTGTTTGTTAGTTTGTTTTGTTTATTTTTTTGTTTAGTTTTGTTTTGTTTTCCCCAAAGAAAGTCTAAATAGATTTTATTTGCCATCATGGTTTCTTATCAACATGAATGCCACCCTGGACTTTTGTGCCTTTGCAGAATCTCTGAAGTTTAAAAGATGAAAATTTTAGTTGGTAATTCAGAGAGTGATATTTTTTCTGTTTGTTTCTTCTTTCTCCTTTTCCTCTTAGGATGTACCATCAGAGTTGCTGCCTGTGGTAGTCGATGAATATCTAGGAGACACAGATGATCCTGCTGAGCTACGGGACCAGTTTCTGGAGTTGCTAGGAGATGTAGGAATTGTCATGCCATCCATTAAAGCACTGAGTTATCACAGGGGTGAGCTAATCAACACCAGCAGGATATTCAGACCTCTTACTACATGGTGGATCAAATGATGTAGACACAAATCCTGTTGTATTTAGGCAGCTCTTCTTGAGATTCCCACTGGGAACTGGAGAGTGAAGAGTGATATAGGTCTGCAGGACTGTGGGAAGACAATGTGTGTACTCCATTATCTTTGTACTAGTGTCTTGCACTTGTGCTCGTAGTTACACAGTTGCCCTCATATTGAGAGCAGAGTGTGATAACAGAGGTAAATGTTTGCTAACTAACTGAAGTACACAGGCATACATATTAAAGCAACCTGGAATTTGTCCTTTGGCCCACTGCTACTTCAGAAGTCAGCAGCTCTGTAGTCTGGAGATTTTCTGGTATTTTAAGTGTAGACAAGCTATGCCAAAATATGCAGAACGAGAAAATAATTTGATGTTATTTTGGTTTCTGTAAGTTTCCCTGGAAAGAATCTTTCATTTTTTTTGTGCGAATGCTGTGAGTTCTTAATTTTGAATTAAAAAGAAAAGTACATGTTTAATGTAAAATTGCATTAAAAACGTGCCCAGTATAAAGCTTTGGGCATATTTAAAACAATATTCGAAAGAGCTGATGCATTTCTTAAGTCTCTGAGTGTTTTATCTTCTAGAGGCTGGAGCTCCTGCCTACTTCTTTGAATTTCAGCATCGTCCCAGTGCATACTGGGATAGTAAACCAGAGTATGTGAAAGCTGATCATGGGGATGAAGTTGGCTTTGTCTTTGGAGGACCATATCTGGCCGGTGACATTCAGCTACGCAGTAAGCAGTAGCACATTCAGTGCTCTCTTATATAAATGACTCTCATAACACTGGCATGATTCTATTCAGTAGTACTACTTCCATTTTAATCAGACTAAAGTGCATCTATTAATAGTGAGACCAAAGTATAACTCTTTATTCCTGTTGGAATTTAACACTGATTCACTGTCTTCTCCATTCTTTATCACATACAGTTTGCTGTTTCTGAAGCACAGTAAGTTACATGTGTTGTCAACAATTTAGCAAATAGGACATTTGCTAGAAAACATCACTGTCATTATATCAGCACTGTTGATGCATTTGTCAAGTAGTTTTGCTGAAAAAAAAAAGTAAAATTTAAGGGAAGGTCACTTAAACTTCCAGAGGATTAGTGGAGTGCTTGGGAAGAAGGAAGTCTAGGTTCTTTTCTTTTCCTGAGGAATTTAAGCTAATGTCTCCTTTCCAGGAAATCCCATGAGCTGTCAGGCTCCAGAGGATGGGGGACTTGGTCTCTTGCAGTTGGTGTTCCAGTTGTGTTGGTTAGAGCAAGGCTTGGATCTCTAGTGTGTCATTATCAGTGTGAAGATCTGATGGTTAGGTTAAAGACTATTTTGCCCCATGACTCAAATAATATTTAAGCATTTTTTTCAAAATGGAACCAGTCTCTTGAGAAAGGATTAAGGATGCACTCCCAAAATCAGTTTGAATGTTCTCATAGGATTTTGGAAGCTCTGGTTCCTTTGGGTAGAATCCCATATTGCTACAGTCCAAATGCATGTGTCAGTCATTGAACAGTTCGATAGAAGATGCCACATCCTCAGGAATAGTAAGAAATGTGTCAGTCATTGAACAGTTAGATAGATGCCACATCCTCAGGAATAGTAAGAATCCAGCAGTTTGCTTTAAATGCATATAGCCAAAACAATAATACTCAAGATTAAGTGTTTCTTTCCCATTAAACAATTTAGAAGCAATACTTATTTTGACAAAGAAACACAGAAATTCTGCTTATTTTAAGTGAATTCACCATTTTTTCTGCTTTTATTTTTGTCATTTGCACAGTAGTTCATAGTCTGTTTCAAACCCTGCATATATTAAATTATTTCCTTTTACTCCATTGAACTTTGGAGCTATCCAGCTATGTTGTAAAAGCATTCATTAATCTTTTACTAGAGCCTTTTGACTTTGATTAAATTTTATATTTATTTCTTTGCTTATCCTTCACTAGAAGATTCTATACAGTTCTCTTCTATTTGCCTGAATTTACTGAGAACATTAGAATATAAATTATTTTTTAATGTATTGAGATGCATTTATAATTTATAACAGACTATAATGGAAATTATTTTCACACAGCTGATACAGTGGGCATACGTGTAACTGTATTTAAAGGAGTATTCTTGAAGTGTTGAGACATGGAATGACATTGTCTTGTATCAGAATGAGGAAAGCTTTGCCCAGTCATGCTCTAAATGATAGGGAGAATTTCAGAACCACAAATCTGGAATGAGATCTGTGAAACTAAACCATGTGGCTCATTCCTTGAGTTGCACTGGGACTGAAAACACATGGGTTCTTTTTTTGATTCTGCTTCTGGTTTCCTGAAAAGCTACAAGCAGATCACCTTATTTTCTTGTCCCCCATTTCCCCAGTTTGCAGAATAAAGATAATTATGCTGCTGTCATTCGTAAAGAGTGCTGAAATCTTCATAGCATCATAGTGTCTTAAGTTGGAAGGGACCCTAGAGATCATCTAAACCAACCTTCCTGCCATGGGCAGGGACACCTCTCAACTAGACTAGGTTGCTCAAGGCCTCATCCAACCTGACCTTGAATACCTGCAGGGAGGGAACATCCACAACCTCTCTGGGAAATCTATTCCAGAGTCTCACCACCCTCATACTGAAGAACTTCTTTCTAAGATCTAGTCTAAACACACTTTCCTTCAGATTAAAACCATTTCCCCTTGTCCTGTAGCTTGACACTCTTGTGAAAAGTCCTCCTCCAGCCTTCCTGTAGGTTCCTGTCAGGTATTGGAAGGCAGTTATCAGGTCCCCCCGGAGGTTTCTCTTCTCCAGACTGAACAATCCCAGTGTCCTCAGCCTATCCTCACAGCAGAGATGATCCTCATAGCAAAGATCTCTTGATCATTGCTGTATTACTAACATGTTGCAGGTACAGTGCCTCTGTTGTAGTCAGTGAGTTGTTACAACTTATTCACAGACTGAAATGCTGCTTCTGTAGTTGCAATGTTTTGACTTCTGCCACACATAGTTTTTATTTGTCTCTCAGGTGAAGTTACAGAGGAAGAGAAGCAGCTTAGTAGAACTCTAATGAAGTACTGGGCTAACTTTGCTCGAAATGGGTAAGAATTATGAGATTCATGACACTACTGTTTTGTACTCCATAGTGAGTTAGCTGTTTTGTTGATTCAGTCTTAACTGCTGTGATTGAATTTTCCTGCCACTGAAAAGGGCATTCACTCTTTCTTTCTTTTTGCTTACAGAAATCCTAATGGAGAGGGTTTGGTTGAATGGCCATCTTACAACCTAAATGAAGAATACTTGCAGATAAATCTAAAACAAAAGAAAGCCAAAAAGTTGAAAGAAAAGAAGGTAGATTTCTGGAGAAAGGTGATGTTTGAAAAGAGAAATAACAAAAGAACAGAAAACAAGAAGGTTAATTCAGAGTTATAATGTAGTATAAACATGCACATAATATGCAAACTATTCGGATAGTAAAAGAAATCAGTTAAAGTAATTTTGAGGATAAAGTTGTTTCCCTTCTTTTCCTGTTCTTCACAGTTGTCATATTTGCAATTATTTACTGTAATAACTCCAACTGCTCTATTTCCCGTTTGTGATCCTGGATTTGTGTTTACAGCTGAAGCATCACTTGTTTAATATAGGTGCCAGATTTCCCAACTGCTCAGGTCTTGCTCTCACTTGCCCATGACTGAAGACAGAACGCAACAGCAACGTTGTTTTAATAAAGTGAAATCAATAAAGACCCAACTTGCAAGTAAAGCTCTCCTTTGATGTCAAGTGTATTAGCAATGGTACAGAAACTTTGGTCTGATTTAGATATAGAGATGTCCTCTGTGGGGACAAAAAAAAAAAAAGAAACTAAAGAAACTAAAGAATGTTGTGCTTTCTAAGTCAGTTTTACAACAGAGATGTTTTTTCTCTGGCTATTATGATGCATAATCTGTAACAGCAGTAGACCTCACTCAAATGTTAGAAAAGAGAGAAACAGTCTCCACTGCCCACACTTTTTTCCTTTCAAGTTTAGCAATAACTCCCCTAGAAGCATCAACTTTAGCAACCTGATTTTTGCACTTTTTCTTTTCCATAGTGCTTTACTTGGTGCTCCAGGCTGTTCTCTGTGCCATCGGTCAGTTCCAGATTCTCTGTTTGCACTGATCACAGGCCTTCATTAGTAGCACTGCAGAGAGATTCCTTTGTACCTGAATTATTCCCGTTCCCTTAGTGGCTGATAGAAACTTGGACTGCTAAGAACAAGGCTGAACACCTCATTTCAGTGTTGCCAAGAACTTCCTTCTCTGCTGTGTCTTGTTTGTTTACTGTATCTGGCTCCTAGGCTGCTCCATCTATCCCAGCCTTATTGCTGACTGTACTGCTACCTCACAGCAGCATTATGCAGCTCCACAGGTCCTGCAGGGCTCCAGGCATCTGCTCCTCCTTCCTTCTTCTCCTCTCTGTATTTCTGCAAGTATTTAAGATTATTTGTAGCTAATAATATCCTACAGCAACTCACTGTTCCCTTCTTTCTGAGTTACTTTATTGGAAGAAATAGGGTGGGTTTTCCTACTTCTTTCTGCCCAAATTCTGTTGCCAGTCAGAGCCAGGGAGGTAGGGTTAGACTGTTAGCACAACTGCAGTTTTGGCAAGTGGGAAATCCTGCTAAGCATCTGTCCCTCCTTTGTTTTAGCTAGCATGTTTTGTGAGGGCCATATAATCTCAAAACGGTCTTGATAGGTTACCATTGCACGTACCATTCCCATTAAAAAAGGAGATAGACAGCAAAAAGAGATAAACAGGATACTTGCAAAAAAAACCTAAAAGCAACCCACAGAACAAACAAAGAAACAAAACAGGCAGAGTCCAAAGCTTACATAAAACGAACACGACCTCTTAGGTAACATGGGCAGAAAATATCTCCTGTTTCTATTCAGCTATCTCTTCCCTCTTTGTCATATTATACTCCAGTGACAGATGTGAGTTCACACAGAAGCCCATAAAAACTTCTGGTTTTTCTAAGGTGTTAAATGTAGAATTACCACCCAAATCCGTCAACATTTTTCACAGACTACAAATGTTGAGAAATCATCCCTCTAGTGTTGGAAAACTCATATATTGTGTTAGGTGCAAAGCAAACATCCCTGAGCACACAGGTGACAGGTGGAGTGTCCATCCTGCAGGAAAAGCTAAGATTTTTTTGCTGGTTTTTTTTTTTTGTAAAAAAAATAGGCTTTTTTGAGAATAAAAATCCCTCGATTCTTAGTTCAGCAAAAGCACATATTTCAGGAGTACTGCTCTGGATTTTGTTTTTTTGTGGCTATATTATGTGTTCCTTACGTTGTGATATTAATACCAAAATTAAGTAAACAGATATAATAAAGTAAAAGTGTAGCTCCCTTCCTGGTCTCTTCACTGTGTAGTGTGACGAAATCCTAACTTCACTGTGAAAGGTGGTAGTGTTAAAGCTGTGGGGCAAATCTGGTGCAATGGAAGACTGTTTTCAAAGTATTTTAAAGCACATAGTCGATGTCTGAGTTTTTGTGAGTAAGATTTATAAGGAGCACTAGGGATCCAGTATGAAACTTGCGGGGCCACTCTGCATGGCAGGAGGTCTCGTGTTCCTGTGTACAGCTGAGCTGCCCTGTGCTCCCTCGGAGGAGTGGCTTCCAGGAAGGACAGTTGCTCTGGGCACAGCTAGGTTGGCTCACAGCTTGAATATTGCTTTACTTCAGCACTGTTTGCGTAACACATGTTTTACAGATTATATAAAGCAACATAACGAGGAAGTAAACGTGACTAGCTTGCAAAATGGCTCATGGAAAGGACACATTGCTCCTGGCTTTGATTCTCACGGCTGGGGTCACAGCGCTTGTAGCTACTGGTAAGCTTCAGAAGGGTTTTTACCTGTTGCCTTCTATTGCCATCTGTAAGGAGATAGAGCACGTGTGCAGCTTGCTTATCTGGGGGAACCCCAGCTTTATTGGAGGAGCTGGGCACCCAACCTTGCTGCACAGAAATTAAGTCTGAATAGCAGATGTTCTTAATTTCTTTTTGTGATCTGTTTTCAGTCATCTGTTTTATTTGCCTTTTTTTGCAAATATTGAAATCAGATTTCTGTCCCAAAATCTTGTCTCCTGAGGCAAAGCAGGTCACTGTACCACATTTGTAATTTGGTATTGAGAATTTTCACACTGATCTTAAAATGCATCTTACCTAAATGTTAACAGTATTTGTATTTGCTTAGAGTATTTTCAGGAATGTTAGAAACTTTTTCTTTTTCCTATACATATTATCTAGAGTCCAGACTATATTTTGTGTGTTCACAGACCTTTTCTTAAAAAGAAATGCCTTTTCATAATGAGAGCAATCTGTTAGACTTTGAAGTAACAACCTGGATCAAAAAGGGTTAAGATCTATATGGAATTGTGTGTATATAGTAAGACAATACATATGATATACCTGAGGGAGATTATACATGCACATACATATCAATCAAAATGAAGGTTGGAATTATGTCAGCTATACTGATTAAAGTTCCTTGAAGCCTTATGTATGAAAATTGTTTAAGAAAACAAAAGGTGTATATTTAAGTAGCTAAAGCTCTTAGAAATCTAGCAGTTACTTAGAAATAGACCAGTTAAGTGATTTTGTGCTCACACCCCCCAGGACAAAAAGCAGAGCAACCAGAAGTGGTAACCAAATATGGGAGAGTCCAAGGGTACCAATTCAAAGTAGACACAGCTGAGAGGAGTGTAAATGTCTTCTTGGGACTTCCTTTTGCTAAGCCTCCAGTTGGACCACTGAGGTTTTCTGAACCTCAGCCACCTGAGCCATGGAAAGGTGTCAGAGATGCCACTTCCTACCCACCAATGTAAGACAATGGCAAAACCTTCCGAATAATTTTTTATTATTTATTTTATATTATATGCAATTCCAGTAACGACAGGACTAGGGGGAATGGGGCAAAGCTGGAAGTGGGCAGATTCAGGCTGGATGTGAGGAAGAAGTTCTTCCCCATGAGAGTGGTGAGACCCTGGGATGGGTTGCCCAGGGAGGTGGTTGAGGCCCCATCCCTGGGGGTCTTTAAGGCCAGGCTGGATGAGGCTCTGGGCAGCCTGATCTAGTGGGAGGTGTCCCTGCTCATGGCAGAGGGGTTGGAACTGGGGGATCCTTGTGGTCCCTTCCAACCCTGACAGATTCTGATCTGTTTTAGCAGAGAACTTTAGAGCCCTAATGGCTCAATGGTTGGACTTGATGATCTTGAAGGTCCCTTCCAACCTAAAGGATTCTATGATTCTATGACACCGACATACAGGGCAATCAAAAGTCACAAAGATAAATTTCTAGGTGCCATCTCATTTCAACCTGCAACTGTTACAGTTAATTAATTTCTAAAGACATCTTTATAAGCTGCTCTTCTTAGTAAAAACTGCTATCTGATGGGTAACGATGATGAACTAATAAGAACTTTGCCAATAATGTTCTGTTTCGAGAGCAGTTGGCTATGTTAGCACTTAGCAATGTTTATAAACTGCGTAGCTTTGAAGAAGAAACACAAAACAGCTGCAGAAATGTTGGAATAAAATATTAGAAGAAAAAAAATGCCAAGTGAGTCATGTGCTTAATAGGACATATCAGAAATGAAGACTATTTTTATGGGTCTCCTTAATGCCAGGTTAAAGGAAGAAGATCTATTAAAAGTGAAAAAAATATTTTATGTTTTTTGGTGCCAATAATCTAGAAATGTACTAGAGATTAGTTTCTGCTTTGCACCTTGTTGTGGAAGTACAAAAAAGCTACACATGAAGTTGTGAGTTCTTATTTATTTCTGGTACTTGTTATTTTTTCATTTATTCAGGTGTCTACAGGATAAAGTACAAGGACAGTATTTTTCAGATGTTATTACTAACAGAAAAGAAAAAGTTCTTCTGCAAGTGTCTGAAGATTGCTTATACCTAAATGTGTATACACCCACTTCTACAGAGAAAGAGGAGAAGCTGCCTGTAAGCAAAATCATTATAAAACCTTTAGCAAAATTATTTTACATCCAGCCTACCATGCATACTATACACAGAATTACAAGTGCAGTTTTGTAATAATGAACAAGTTACATTCTTTGCCCCAGTAAATATTTGCTAAGGTTTAAAAGAGACACAAAATCCTATTTACAAATAAAATTGTATTGACATTTTAGTTGGGTAGTGTTTGATTTCTTATAAATAATCCATGAAAAGTCACAGGACACTGGTATAGTAATAAGTATTCAATAAGGTAAATGTCATTTTGTGAGACTGCAGGACTTAGATTTGAAAGACTTCTACCATCTATAAAATGTAATGTGAAAGAGTCAGGAATGAAACAGCACAAAATATTATATTTTGGTTTATATTTGGTTTTTATCACTGAGAACTCTTACCTGTTCTGGGTTGTTTCTGGTTTTGTCTTTCCAGGTCTTTGTATGGATCCATGGAGGTGGATTAGTTTTTGGGGCAGCTTCATCATATGATGGTTCAGCATTAGCAGCCTTTGACAATGTGGTGGTTGTAACAATTCAGTACAGATTAGGTATCCTGGGATATTTTAGGTAAGATATGTTATCTCCGTTTTTGCCAAGTAATTTCCAGCATTCTGTGCACAAAGCCTTTGTGAAGAGACGTGCAGAATACTTGGTTATGCAAAGAAACTACACATTGCTTACATAAGCAACAGTTGGGAACAGTTCACAAGTCCCAAGTCATCTTTCAAGTCTTTAATTTTTATTAAATTAATTTTAATTTAGTTGCTACTGTAATCTCAACATTGCTTGTGCAGAGAAGCTCTGTGTAGAGAATTGCAGCTGATTTCTTATACCACAGACAGTATTTTTGTCTGCCTTTTTTTCTTGCACTGAGCATTTAAACAAACCTGTTCTTTCTCTGAAGCACTGGTGATAAACATGCCCGAGGTAACTGGGGGTATTTAGATCAAATAGCAGCTCTGCAGTGGATTCAAGAAAATATCATACATTTTGGAGGAGATCCAGCATCTGTCACTATTTTTGGAGAATCTGCAGGAGGAATCAGCGTTTCTGCCCTTGTAAGTTCGCAGTAATATTGAATATAATTACTTAGGAACTGTCCACATTCACTTTTAGTACCTGCATGAAAAGTCAGTGAGAGAAAAGGAGTGGTTTTATAGTAAATGGCACATCACTTTGCTCTATAGTAGAACAATACAATGCAACAGTAGAGATTCTGATTGATGAAAATATTGTTTTTATACCCAAGTCTCGTAGTCCTCATGCAAAATGTTGTTCTTTATCTACTAAATTAAATTCTAGGGGTTTTTTTGCAGTGCCAAAACTCAAAAAATTTAACCTTCTGAGAAAAGTTCTGTTAGAGGATGTATGGCCCATTTCCTGTTTGCTCTGACAGTCACTTGTGCAAAGTAACTGACACCAGAACTAGATGTGCATTTTGTGACTATGGAAAATGTTTACATCAACACTGATGTGCAACACAGTGGCTAAAAGGTTCTTCTCCAGTCTTTCACAATTTGGTACAGATCACACAGTGAAAACAGGGTTTCCTGTTTGCTCACCTCCTGCCCGTTGGCCAACAGTTCTTTATTCCTCTTCTATAGCACAGCCAGACTATCCTGGACACAGTTATAGTTGGTCCAGATCTGCCTGTAGTGCAGTTCTATGAAGTCTTGGAAGCAAGGTGCTTTGGGAGGGGAAAAGGCAGGCAGGAACTCCTTATCTCTGAGAGTGCTGACAAAGCCCTTTGCATAGCTATGATCAGAGGCTGCAGAATAACCATCTTATGACATTGTTTTTCAAAATGTTTTAAATAGCAATTGCTGATATTGAAATTCTAAGTCAGTGGTCAGAACAGGATTCTTGTCATGATTGTAATGCTCATTCTTGCTTTTTTACAGGTCTTATCTCCCCTGGCAAAGGGCTTGTTCCATAAGGCCATTTCAGAGAGTGGTACTGCAATCAGGATTTTGTTCACTGACCACCCTGAGGAGGAAGCACAAGTGGGTATTTCGTGGTAATTTTCATTATTTTTCCATATAGTTTTGCATATCTTAAACTGTTTATTCCAAAATGTAGAAACAGATCTTTTTTTTTTCTTGTGAAGCTACAACCACAGTCATTAAAGACAGTATTTATCTGTGCAAATAATGCCTTTTAAATGACGCTTTGCTTTTCAAATGCCCAAGTATCCACATGTGTCTGAGTGAAAGCAAAAGACTATGGAAGCAAAGAGAGAAGGCAAAGAAGTGTGAAAGGTAAAGGAATACTGTAAGATGTACTGTCTTGAAGAGAAGTTCATCTATAATTTTTGGCTGGAAAATGGCACCAGATTCTGAATACTCTCTTCACCTCCTGTTTGATGTCGGCTGCAGGCAAATAAAGAAGGACTTAGTCAATTTGTTTATATTTGAAAAGAAGAACTGACTTCCCAATTTTTTTTCCAACTACAAGAAATAACTTCCAGGAACCTGGATTTGATAATCTGGGATATAAAAGAGACAATATTATAATGAGATCTGTCTCTCTAATGATGGTTTTTACTCCACCCAAAAAGACATCATCATAGAATCATAGAATCATAGAATCATTTAGGTTGGAAGGGACCTCCAAGATCATCAAGTCCAAAATAGTATAATGTGCTCTGTTAATATCTACATGTCTGTATTCTAACTGTGCATCCCTACCTCCTTTATTTCATCCTGTCTTCTCAGCCCAGCATGTTATTTACCAGAAAGACTATGTTCATCTAGTTCTTTATCAAAATATTTTGGAGGTGTATGTTTTGTTTGTCTGCTCAGCTCACAGTGTGAGGGGCTATGAGGGCTTCCTATTCTCTACCTCTGCAGCTGGAGCCTGTCTGGCTTCAGTGATCCCTGTGCAGAAGTTTAAGACTTCCTTCTGCTGGACTGTCAGGCTTGGTGGCACATAGAGCCTTCTATGGGAAGTATATGAAAAAGTGTTTGGTTTCATTGATTGCAGACAATTGCTGCTGCCTCTGACTGTGAAAAATCCAGTTCAGCTGCAATAGTTGAATGCTTAAGAGAGAAAACAGAAGAAGAGATAATACAGATAACACTAAAAATGGTAGGTGAAATTATACTTCTTGCTTTTAAATGACATTTCAAATTTTATTGTAACAGAGTATGCCATTTGTGTGTGGTAATATTAGGAGAATGTGAAGTGAATGTAATATCTGACTTTCTTGACCTTTTCAGGATTTGACAACACTGCAGCTATGCTGTAGCTCACCTGAAATGACAACAACCTGAAATGTTGACAGGTTACTTCCCCTTCATTGGCATGGGCTTTGAGCTGCTTCTCTTTTGCTATCATGCTCTACCAGGGGAAGGACAAGAGTACAGGCAATGTCACAGCTTCTCCTGGAGAACCTGAAAATGAATTAATACAATATGTTATGTCCTACTTAAGCTTTATCATCACAGTGCTAGATTCCATGTTTCTTTGCAGTTTGAACACTGAAGTTGTTTTTTCCCCCACTGCTCCACACATCCATAACAAGATTGAACCAGAAGAGATGTAAATTGGACACCATCACCTATGATTCACAAACATTAAAAATATAATGCTGATCTTCACAGAATCTTCTGCCTAGTGCAGAAAAATCTGTCAGAGAAAATTTAGAAATGGCTTGAATACTATTATGTCTTGTATTTTCACTAGGCACTTTATTTATTTTGGTTTGGAACTACAGTAAAAATATAATTTTTTTTTTCTGGAAGTAAAATAAGTGTATTAATGAAGCTTTCTTTTTTTTCTTCAGCCTCTCATATTCATCAGTACATCTGTAGATGGTGTATTTTTTCCAAAGAGTCCTAGGCAACTACTATCTGAAAAAGCCATCAATTCAGTCCCATATATGATAGGAGTAAATAACTGTGAATTTGGATGGGTACTTCCTACGGTAAGAGACTTTTGGTTTTGTTATTTTTATATAATTTTGTTAATATAAGATTTTCTAATAAATTTGAATCTCTGTACCATGCAGATGATGAAATTTCCTGCTTTTGTAGATGGCCTGGATGAAGATGTTGCACGCCAAGTTTTGCAGAACATATTAACATTAGCACTTAAGGTAAAAGATCATTTTCAGAATAACCCCATGTGGCTTCTTCACTGGTGTGGTTCTATGTTTGTACTCCTGGAGGGGTATATTTTAGAGGCAAACTTTGTTCTGTTTGACAGCTTCCTACCATCGTGCAGTAATGCCCAGTAGATGTGGTATGTTCCTGTTGCTACTAGAACTTGAAAAAAAATATACTCTAAATTTCTATCCTAAATGCCCCTCTTTTTAAAAAATAGTTCTGTAGAAATCCAGGAGTGATTCAGGTATCTGAACATAGGTCTCTTGTGACATTTTAGATACCCTCAGTTATCCAAGGCATGCATGGTACTGGCAGATATGACACAAGACCTATAGAACACACCCTGCTGAAGCAGTAGCTGGACACTAGAAAGGATAACCTGAGATGTTTAAACTTGAAATTTTTGCAGGTTTCTTGAAATTTTGCTTCCCTGTAATTTACAGACCTCTTAGCTTTCTGGTTCCTATGTGCTCTCCTGAAGCTACTAAATATAAAAAACCCAACAGATTAATAGGTGAGAGATAAGTACTTTATAAATATGGCCAGCACTCACAATGGTTCATTAAGTGTCACAGATATTCATCATGAACCTGAAAAGGCTTGTTCTGAAAGAGAGTAAATTGTGGCCATCTACAACAATAAATGAATTTTATAAAATCTGACATACTTGTTTTCTCATAGAAGGGTTATTTCCACAGAAGGGAGAATAGACTACCATATCTACTTGTCAGCATCCCTGACTGATGTTTATCTAAAGATCTTTAGATCTTATAAACTTCTTTTCCCTTTTTCCATCTATGTCCTGTACCGGTGTAACTCCCAGTTCTGAGCTCTGAGCCACACTGTGACACAGCTGAGGATTTCTCTGAAAGAAGCTAATGTTTGGGCTTTAGCCAGGGCCATGCAGGTGGCACACTCCGTTGGTGCTGTTACTCTTTATAATATTCATCACCATTACCAGAAGTGTTTTTATGGCTCATTTCAGGGTGCTACGTCTGAAGTTGCTGATCGAGTGTACCATGAATACATTGGGGGTGCAGAAGGCCGTGCTCAGGTGCGAGATGGCCTTCTTGATGCACTGGGAGACTTATTTTTTGTTTTGTCAGCCATTGAAGTGGCCAGATACCATAGAGGTAAGGCTCTAATTCAGCATCTGTTAGAAGAAGTGCAGAAGTCCACTCTGGCACATGTTTATGGACAGCATGCATCACACTTGATTATCCAAAGAACCAATAGTGGTTTAATTTTATCAAAATAGCTTGTAATGAAAGTTTATCATCTTTGGTGGCAGGTATTTTCAGCTTTCAAACTAACACTCTTCTGTATATTTTCTGTCAGATGCTGGCAATCCAGTCTACTTTTATGAATTTCAACATCGACCAAGTTCAGCGGCAGGTGTTGTGCCAGAGTTTGTAAAAGCAGATCATGCGAATGAGATTGCCTTTGTCTTTGGAAAGCCATTCTTAGCTGGTGATGTATCCATGCTTACTACAGTATTCCTTTTAAAATTTCACTATTATTCTTTTTACTTACTGGAGGGCTCTAGAATACACTTTCTCCCTTAGAAACACTGGAATCAACATAAATGTTTTCTGTCTTTAGTAGTAGTTACTTTTAATGAAATCATTCATCTGCAGTTCTCTCCTAGAGCTCTGTGCAGGTAAAACTCCCATAGCTCAGAGAACGAGGTAGAACTGAGTACATTCTATTGGAATGGATATAGCTGCTGCTTTTTTGCTTATTTAGTTTTTAATGTTGCCCTTTCATCTCTCACTTCCCAGGGTATGCTACAGAAGAAGAACATGAACTTAGCAGAACTGTTATGAGATACTGGACTAACTTCGGTAGAAACGGGTGAGGGTCATCAGCTAATTACAGCTCAGATTTTGTCTGTGCTGCCTGAAACATCCTTACATGCCTGAAACATCCTTACATGCCTGAAGCAATACTTATATGATGGTTCCTAAAAATTTGGCAGAATTTTAGATAGATATTGAAGCAAATTCTTTCTGTTCTTAAAGATCACAAGAAAAACGTTTTTAATGAACCTGTAGAACAAAAAAAGAAAAAAAAAAATCCAAGAGCTATTACTCCACCTACAATGGAGTTTTAGATCCAAAACTAATGGCAATTATTAAACTTTTGGTGTTCCACTGATTAAAAAAATCCAACTATTCAGGTACTAGAGTCACATAATCTGAACTCTTGTTAGTATTCTGGAATTCTCTCAACCTGAGCAGTCAGAGCACAACTGACAGACAAATGGAAAGCTAACTTTTAATTATGTTATTTTCAGAAATCCCAACGGAGAAGGCTTGGTCCATTGGCCTCATTATGATCTGGATGAACAATACCTGGAAATAGACCTAATGCAAAAGGCATCAAAGAAATTGAAAGAACACAAAATGGAGTTTTGGACACAGCTCACAAAACAAATGATGAAAGAAAGGAGAGAACACACAGATTTATAAGAGTTGTGGAGGGTACAGTTTGCTTTTAAAACTCAAAGTCAAACAAAATTAGTTTGTCAGGATGCAGAGATTAATAACCACCTACTAACTCACTATTATGTAATCTGTTGTCGTGATCATAGTGAAAGGAAAGAATCAAGGGAAATTTGTGATGTTTGTGGCACCAAAAGTCACTATTTTAATGAAGCAAGCAGAAAAAAAACCACAATCTCTCAGGCTCAAAAAGACCATGGTATCTACTCAGTGGATGTCAAACCAGAATAATGATCCTGTGAGAAGGGGTAATGAGGGGGATGTTGGCGAATATACTGAAATCTGTAAGCAGTTACCTGTGCAGAATATATATCATAAGTGTCAGACTATGTTATATGATTATTCCTCTCTTCTTTGAAAAGAGTATGGTCAGTTGTCATTCTTACAGCCTCTTTCCACTTTCTGTCATTGGAAATAGCATATAGGGAGCACAGTGTCCATTAAAAAACATCTGTGAGATGGCCTTGACATCTCAAAAAAGAGGACAGAAAATCTCTACTTGTTTTCTTTTTTGTAAACTGTTATAAATACATGTTGCTTCGATTTTTTTGAGCTTCCTTTTCTTTCACTTAACTGATACAGGCTAGTTCCAAGAGGTTAAATCATACCCAAGAAGCCAGAAATGTGTCTACTTTCTTCAGCCTTAAGAGTTTCCACCTTTCTGTGTATAACCTGCATCTCTAGTGTTTTCACAGACTGTTCTGTGGTCTCAAGGCTCTAGTGTTTTCACAGACTGTTCTGTGGTTTGATTATCATCTGTTCCTCAACCCTTCTTACCAAAGAATTCACAATTCACTGGCTGGAGGGAGGAAGCACTACTGGCAGGACTGATGGGAGAGCAAAGTATGATGTTGTTCACTGCATGTTGTTAGCTAAACATTGTCTGTGGGCCCACAAAGGGGAGACTTGCTGATGTGCAAATTACACACCCTCATTCTTCCTCCTTGCAGGGGCACTAGCAGATGTGACCACATTTTGGGCTGGAATGTGTGAGGGCACACAAACAATGGAGTAGCTTTTTTGCAAAGTTACATGACAAGCAAGATATGCTTGCCAGGCACAAAGGAACACACAATGTAAGCTTCCAAGAATCTGTAAGAACAGTACTCTTAGCAATAAACAAACAGCAATAAATTAGCTCTGTCTCCTTAATTGGTGCTGAGCTTACCCTCCCAGCTCCCAGTGTCCCACAGTCTATAGCTACTCTTCCCAGGGGTGCCTGTCACAGTGGTGCATTGACAGCCCAAGTTCCTGTCTGCAGGTGTTGGTTTCTTGAGAATGTCTTCTTCCTCCTTCTCACCTCTGTGTTCACTTGGGTTTGCTTTTACACACTGCTGGACAAGCAATGTGATTTGTACTGAGTCTCCACTTGGCTAGTCCCTTTTGTGCATTTTTTCCATAACTTGCAAAAAGCAGTAGTTGTTACCATTACTTGCAAAAAGTTATCATTAAATAAAAGTATTCAGACATTTCTCAGTGCAGCATATGGGGCACAATGGGCATATTATCCCCTCTGTTTCGATCTGAGTAGCCTTTTAAGCCCGTTCTTGGTTTGTTTGTTGAATCAGTGTTTCTGTCCTTGTAGGTTCACAAAAATTATTATCTTAAATGACATAGGAAAATAATTTTCATTTGTGAGTGCAAAGTCATAGGTATAACTTCTGTGGGAATGCCTGCAATTTTATTAGGCACATGTGATAAGAAGGTAGTTTCCAGCTGTGTGAGAAGCAGCGTTCTGTCCATATATCTACTTTAAACATCCAAATGTAAAGAACTGTATGTTTTCAAACAGTTGAGAAAGGAATAATACTAGGGCAACAACATATAGGTTACCTCCAAGTAGCAGATTCCTACATTATGCTCCAAACCACATTTTATTTTATA